CAAATCAACAAGAAAAAGACCAGCAGAAAAATGGGGAAAGAACATGAGCAACAGTTCATAGGAAAGGAAACACTAAACACGTCAAGAGGAATCCCAACCTCATCCATAATGAGAGAAACAGAAATTAAGTCTATAATCAGACGATGCCATGTTTCTCGCCCATCCATTGGCAAAGGTTAGCGTTTTGACGATATGCTCTGTTGGGGAGGCTGAGGGGATCGGACCTTCTCACACATTGTTGGTGGGACTGAAAATTGGCCCAGCCTCTTGAGAGGACATTTGGCAATTTATGGATTGCAATTTAAAATGTATGTCTCCTTGGACCTGGTGATTCTTCCTCTTGGGTCTAGTCAGACAAGTACATGAAGATACACATAGAGGAACAGTCCCTTTATGTGGTAATGGAGACCCGGAAACAGAGTGAATGCATCGACTGGGGGCCAGTTAAGCCAACTGAAGCATTATAAGTAATTGTAATGCATCATATACAGGAATGCCTCGGCACCATTAAGAAACTGAGGCCAGCCGGGGCGCCTGGGTGGCTTAGTCGGTTAAGCGTCCGACTTTCGCTTAGGTCATGATCTCGCGGTTCGTGGGTTTGAGCCCCGTGTCAGGCTCTGTGCTGACTGCCAGCTCAGAGCCTGGAGCCTGTTTCAGTCTGTGACTCCCTCTCTCTCTGACCCTCCCCTGCTCATGCTGTCTCTCTCTCTCTCTCTCTCTCCTAGAAATAAATTTAAAAAAAAAAAGAAACTGAGGCCAGCCTACCTGTATGTCTCCTGCAACAATGTCCAAGAAATAACGTCCAGTGATAAAAGCAGAGTGCAGGTCAATGTATAAAAGAGAGGAAAAGGTATACACACAGATATAAGAATTCTTGTATATGCACAGACTGTCTTTGAAAGAACATACAGGGGCGCCCAGGTGGCTCAGTGGGTTATGTCCGATTCTTAATTTTGGTTCAGGTCGTGATCTCATGGTTGATGAGACTGAACCCCGAGTAGGGCTCAAAATGCTGATAGTGCTGAGCCTGCTTGGGATTCTCTCTATTACTCTCTGCCCCTCCTCTGCTCTCTCACTTCCTCTCTCTCTCTCAAAATAAATATACATTTAAAAAATTTTTTTAAAAAAAGAAGAAAGAACATATAAAATCCAGAAATAATAGTTGTCTCTGGGGACAGATCTCCCAGAGTTGAAGGACAGGGGTAGAGGGAAATTATTATGACTGTATGTCTTTGTGCTGTTTTTGTTTGCTTTAGCCATATATATGCATTAATGACATATTTTTTAAAAATAGCATATTTTTTAACCTGATAACAATGACATGAAGTCCAGGTAGTTGAGTGTTTTTCTCATGCAGTGGGGTTTTCATTTTATCTAATGTCCTTTGGGAATGAATTTCCATGACAGTAAAATTTCCAGACATATTACAGGAATCAAACTCTTTAAAAACCATTTTTTTTTAAAGAAAGCCTATGTAAAATGTATAATATTCTTCCATATTTTTTCAGGTAGAGAATGTGGAATGTGGGTGGACATTTCCTGGCTGGCCCTGAGACCAAGGGCTCTCTGCCCCCGCATGGTAGTGCTCTCTCTGCCGAGGCTCTTGTCCCTTCCGCTTCGGTCAAGTGTCACTTCACAACGCAGCACGTGAGCACACTGAGACGAGAGTGTCATTTCCAGACCTGGTGGGAGTAGCCTCTTTCCAGGCCGTGGAGCCAGGAGCACCGGGCTTGGGGGCAGACGTTCTGGATGTTGTGATGCCGTTGCTCACACACTGGTGGCCCTGGGTAGCTGGGGCCCTGTGACATTCTGACCTCAGGTGACGTGGGCACCTGCTTCTCTCTCCCTGTCGTCCCACCTCAGAGCCTCTAAGTTGGCCTCGTGGGCCGGAAAAAGGCTTGAAGCTTCTCTGAACCTCAGTTTCCTTGGCTATAACAGAGAAGTGAGGCCACAGGAGTCCCCACCATGGCTGCGGTGGTGACAGTACCTGGGACAGCGCTGGGACGCAGCCACACGTGCCCTCCATTCTCCCTCTTCCCTCCTCCCATCCCACTGCCTGGCTTATTCCAGCCAGACTCAGAGGCTCTCCGTGATGGGAATGTGGCCCCTCTAGGTTCCCCTCTGCTGTCACTTTGCTGCGGAGCTGAGCAGTTCCCGAGGCCCCCTGGTTCTGGGTTGGGGCAGCCTCCAAGGAGCGTGGACCGGCGAGGCCTTTCCTCACGGATTTTACTACACGCAGGGCTTTTTAGAGAAACGTTTGCTGACACGCTGCTATTCAAGGCCTCCCCAGCGCCTCCCGCTCCCACATGCTCTCGGACACCTTCCTTGGCAGGACTCACCACCGTGGGAAGCGGGGAGCCCAGCGAGGCAGCGGCACAGAGAAGAACCATCTGGGATGCCGGACCCACTAGGCCCAGATCCCACACTGGCCTCGGCATTTACAAACCGTGCCACCTCGGCCAAGTCACTTCATCTTGGTTTGGAACCTCGGTTTCTTCAATTGCAAAATGGGGTGAGAAAGGAGACTCCATTTCCTGGACTTGTTTCTCAGATTAGCGACCTGATACATGGGTGTGCTCAGCACGGCCTGGCCACGGTATGTGCTCCGTGATTGTGAATTGAGCATGGAGTTGACTTTGGCCCAGCCCCACTGCTCTGGGCTAATTGTAGCAACCCATCAGCTACAGGAGGTGCTTCGAGGCCATTCGATTCCCTGCACAAAGGCTGCTCTGTACAGGGCCTGCCCTTCTCAGCAGGCCTGGACACAGGGGCGGCTGGAGCCGGCTTGGCCGGACCACCTGTCTCCAGGCCAGGGGGCCCCAAGGGCTTGGACTGCGTGTACTCCTCCAGCCTGGGGAGGGCTCCCCATCTGAGGTCCTCAACCATTCCTGGAGCCGGGCCAACGCTCAAGCGCCTCCTGGGGACCCACCTGACTCATGTCAGCTTTGCGCGTGTAGAGAAATAATTCTCCACTGGGTTAAACCACTGTGATGTGGGGGATTTGTGGTCATATGGAACGGAGTGGAAGGCAGTATTTATATATAGGACTTAGAAAGCGAAAACGTGAGGCTTCCAGTAAGTGGCTGCTTGCAGCTGGCCCCTTTAGGCCACACCTGCAGACCTCTGACCTGCCAGAATCTGGGCTGTATCTCACCCCGGCACAGCCAGCCATAGACCCGGTGACCCGGCGACCCGGCTCCAGACATAGCGCAAAGCAGATTTAAAGTACCAGCAAGGAGCTACCGAGGCGGAGTTTTCTGAGAACATCTCAAACGTCTCATTAGACCCATGCGAGAAACGAGCCCAGCATTGGCCTCCAACCTCCTTCTGTCACCGCCCCCCGCCCCCCAACCATTCTAGGGTGGGTGGGAGAAGCTGGTCCACCCCGGGCAAGCCCAGCACCTTCTCGGGCCCTGGTGCGAACCAGCCCAGAGATGGAGCACCGTAGCCAGCGGGACACACATCTTCCAGATGTTTAAGTGGCCAGGGCCCAGGGAGGGTCCCAGCTGGTCAGGCGGCCCGGGGAAGATGCTGTTTCGGTCATAACTTTGAACAAGGGATGACCCTGAAGTCCCCAGCTTTGTCACTGGCAAAAAAAAAAAAAAAAAATGGAAGTGTTGATGATGGCATTTGAAGCTTTTTCCTTACCTGCAGCCTCAATACGTAAAACAGCGCACAGCTGAGATGCACTGTGGAAACAGGCAGGGACCCCCTGACCTCAAGGCCCCCCGGGCTCCGCTGCCTTGTGCTCTCCAGATCCCCTCCCCGAGGAGGAGGAGGTGTTAGTTCACATCCCTAACTTGCTGAGCATTTGGGGCAAGGCCCTTTCCCTCTCTGGGCTTCCCTCGCTTTATTTGTACAATTGATATTTGGAAGGAAGCAGCCAAGGATACAATCCTGTAACGAAGTCCTTTATGTATCGGAGATTAAGTGGGAGCTGCTGGGGTGGGGACTGAGCCCTGAGGGGCACCACCAAATGCCCAAGGGCTCCAGGGGGAGGCAGAGGTACGGAAAAGGCCCTGCAGCCCGGATGGCCCCACCCACTCCTCGGAAGATGTGTGTGCAGGGAGCCAAGGCGGATGCCTCGTCTCGGGCTGCTGGGCGCCTCCCCGCTGCTCTGCCACGTGGCTGGGCCATGACCTGCAGACCCTGGGGTCCAGGACCAACAGACAGCTTATAGTGGGGACACAAGGAATGCAGAACACCTGAGTGTTTCCTAAAACGGTGCGCCCGGGGCCCTCCGCCCGGGGCCCTCCGCGGTGTGCCTCCTGGAGCCAGAGCCTGCCTGCCCGGCCCCCTCACTGGGGAGGGGTTCTGGAACACTAGCGCCTCCCTGATGCCACTGAGCACTGGGAATTTCCAGGGGCAGGGGTCCCAGTGTGACTTCAGGCGATCTGCCTTTCACTGTGCCGGGGCAGTCCAGAGTCTGGGAGAGGTCCAGAGCAGACGTAGGCTGCTCCCTTGGAGTCAGGGGAGAGGCGGTGGTGTTCCCAGGGAAGGAGCCGCCAGGCGAGCCGGCAGCACCAGGAATCAGTGCAGCTTGCGTGGCTCGGTTCTCTGGGGAGGCGCCCTGCCTCGAGCTCCCGGTGGGGGTAGAGCTCACACTCCCACCTGCTCAGCTCGGCGCTGCAGGTGACGACTTCTATACACATGCAGCCGGACAGGCCACCTCTCCCTCTGAGGGCCTGTCCCTGCCACGGAGCCTCTGACAGGTGGCCAAACTCTGGTGGCACGGCACTCCTTCCCTAGGGGGAGACTATCCTCAGCAGACCGAGGGGTGGGGCATATTCCAAAACCCCCTCCCCTTACCCACTCCGGGCTCACAGTTTACTGGAGGCAACAGTTAGCTTCCCAGGCAAACAGGAACCCATTAGGGGAGGAAAACAACAAACAGGAGCCCTCCTCTCACCAACTGACCCAAAAAGAACGAGCTCTGTCCGCCGGGTGGATTTCCCGTGAGTTAGTATCACGCGGAAGAAACTGTCGATACTTCGCAGCCCTTTTTACAATGAGCCTGTGTTTAGCAACACTCAGCTTTGTTTTATTATTGCATTTTACGAAGTTACCAAGACAACTGAGGCCAAGTAACAGAACCTTGACTTTATGTGCCATGAAAATTTAATAAAGAATGCTTAAAGGCTTTTAAGAGGCAGGAGCTTCGGCCTAGCAGCAGTGTCCCCTCCGGGGAGGGCTCGAGCGTGGCGCCTGTCACCAGGCCTCAAAGGGCACCGGCTGTCGGGGACGTCCAGGTGGGCACAAGGTCCCCGGCATCCGTCTTGTTCCAGACATTTGTTAAGGTAGTTCCCGGGCGCCCAGCCCCAAGATGGGTTTCTTACGTTCACGATGACACGACTGTCGCCCTGGGGGCCAGAAACAGGGCAGAGGGGTGACGTCGCTGGTGCGCAGGTGCACAGCCAGAGGGCGTCGGGTACAGCAAAAGCGGGCCGTCACGTCCCTGTTGTGAGGCAAGGGGTTCTGCAGGGGAAATGCCCCTCTGCCTTCCTGCATCACCAGCCTCGCTCCCGCAGCCTGGGAGGGCCCCTGGGGAGCCACAGTCAGGAGCAGGGAGGCGGTGTCCCGGCGGCCCGGGCCTACGGTCCTGGGCCGACTCTTGGCAAGCACCTTCACGTTGGAGGAAACGTTTCCCAGGAGCCTCTTAGTGAGCACGTTATGTTACCCCAGGGCCTGCACAGAGCCCTTTTCCCTCTGCTCTCTAAATAAGACTCAGAAGGAAATTGCCAGAAATGAGAAAATCATCAGTAATTTTGCCATTTTGTACAAAAGCTCCGTGGTGCTGTGTGCGCGCGTGGGTACCTGTAAGCATTGCGCTGCGTCGTTTTCCTGGTTATAGAAACATCAAGACTTCTGGTTAGTAGAGATGGAGGGGATGGGGTGGGCTGAGGGCTCTGCAAAGCTCCTCTGTCCCCGGGAACAGGGGGGAAAAAAACCATGGATTTATTTCACGAGGGAGAAATTCGTATGCCATGTGGGAAAATCCCACTCACATTCATCAGAGCAAATAGGAGACCAGCGAAAATATCAATTGAGGCGAGGTGGATTTTAGGTTAATTGACCTCGCCGGGGAGAGGAGAAGGGCTCCCTCGGTCCCCAGGAGCGCCAGCTTCCAGGTGAGCAAGCGAGTTCATCATTTCTGGGCTTCAAGGGAAGGTGCTCAAACTCCAGCCATTTCAAGCCCAATTTTCAATTATAGGGCCAAGTTTGGGACATTAATCAAGAGGTGAAGCAAAGAAGGGAGCTATTCTGGCCTACAAGTCTGCCCATCACGAGGCAGGGCCCAGGTGTCGGAGGTACAGCAGAGACCATTTGCAGCCTGCGGAGTGTCTCAAGTGTAAGGATGAGGGGAGGTGGAGAGGGAGAGCAGCTGACTGTTTTAGCTTCATTTGTCTTGATGGATGGCAGCATTCGAGAAGGAAAGTTCCTCCTTCATCCCGTCACACTTTGTAGGCAGCGGGGAGCTCGGCATTTGAGCAGCTCGCTGGTTTGCAAAACGCTTCCGTGTGTGCTTGTGCTTGCTGTGTCTCATCAGGGTTCCCAGGGACCGAGTGGGGGAGCGCCTGTCACCCCCTTGTGGGGCTGAGGGACGTGGATCCCCGGGGTGTCGTGACCCCCAGGGCCCTCCTGGGGGGCTCAACATGGGCGGAGCAGGTCTGCAGGCCCACGCTGAGACCCCAGAAGCCTGGGTGTGAGCTGAACACCCCTCCCCCCAGCCTCACACGTCTCTGAAATGGGTTCCAAAGCCTCTCCCCTCTGGGTTTTGGGAGCGCTGAGTCTCCATGCAGAGCAGACACGGTGCCGAGAAGGGAGCAGGGGCCTCCCTGTGGGTCCCAGCTCTGCCTTCCTCCGGCCCGGGGTTGGACATCAGTGCCCTATCTGTGACGAGGGTCATGAGAACGCCTGTCCCTCGCCGGGTTGTTGGATGGTCAGAGGACGGGACAGACGTACCAGCACTTTGTAAACTGTGAAGCACTGAACAGATGTTGTTAAGTTCACATGGGAAAAGGAGTTGGTTCTAGAAAGGCAGAAACACCATTCCAAATGTCAGGGCTCCTCCGCAGACCAGACCGGTCCCACCAGCCCCCAACCATGGACAGTCACCTTCACCTCGGGATGACCTGCTCAGCTCACCAAGCCCACAGATGCAGGCTCTGCTCCTGCAGGGCTGAAGAGACGGCCGGACTCCTGATGGAGGGGGTTAGCCACCAGGCTGGGAACACAGAGGTGTTGAGTGAATGGCCCTGGCAAGGTTTAAAATGCCATGATTGTTGAGGGTGTTCACGGGCACCGTAGCCCCACCCCGCCCCTGGGACTTGCTGGATATTTGTATTGTTTCAACCAGCACCTGCGGGACCCCGCACCCCACGCTCGAGGGGCCAGCATGAATCCGGCACCTGCTTGACCTGGAGTAACTCCCAGCTTGTAAAGATGAGCCCTGTGATGTCACAGGGCAAGCATGGTAATAACAGAACTTTCCAGATTCTCACGAGCAGACGGAGGGAGCAGTTGATGCTGTGGGGGGGGGGGTGTTGCAGTGGGGTGTTTGAGCTGGACCTTGAAGGTAAGTAGGTGTCCATTGGATGGAGGGAGGCCATCCGGTCCAGGGAACAGTAAGCACAAGGGCAGGAGAGGCTGAAGTGGGTCCTGGCCCTGGGGCAGGTACCAGCACATTCTCTTCCCCAGAGGCCACAACACACAGCGAGTGCCCTGGGAGCGTGTTGACAGGGGCTGTGGCAGAGGCTACCCCCTGAAAAGGGTGGGCCAAGCATGTCTTTAGGATGGAGAGGAAGGACCGGGCTGGATTACGAGCAGCCTTGAACGTTGGGTTAAGGAGCATTGGCTTAGATGACGGTTGATTGAATTAGGGGATCGTGTGGTCGGCTCCGTGGTTCTCCGAATTCCTTCGGGGCCACTAAGGACGTAGGATGGAACGTGAGTTAAGGGGGGTGAGAGGCAGGAGGAGGTGAAGTCCGAGCTGGGGGAGAGGGCAGGGACCCACAGGAGAAACGAGGGCACCTCTTTGGGGACGGAGGCTCTGTCTCCAGGAGGCCCCGCCTCCACACCTGTTAGGACAGCAACTAACAACTAACAACTGCACCGAATCCAATGCGCCTTTATTAGCACCTACAGCAGGCTCCCTGCAGCCAGGCTGTGGGGACTCAGCTCCTGGCTGTGACAGCAGGGAAGCCAAGCACATCTCCTAGGAGGCTGGAAGGAGGGGAGCAGGATGGCCACTGTGGAAGAGGAAGGGAGCTGATCGGTGCACCGGAAGTGACAGGCTTGGCAGAAAAGGGTGGGGCGGGGCCAGGGCCCAAGGGGAGACAGGCTGAACCCGATCTTCTCCATTCACTGAACCTGCTCTAGGAAGCGGGCCCTTCAGGGACCTCTGGGAAGGGGTGATGTGGCTGGAGTGTGTGCACGTATGTGTGTGAATCAGTGGGAGGGGGACTAGGGGAGACTAGGGGAGAATTGGCCCGATGGATCCCGAGGGCCCCACCCCAGGTAACACACAGGGCCCTCGGTTCCTCATGGGGCATCTCTGGGCCCGGGATCTCTACCCCCAGGTCCCCTCTTCTAGGAGAAAGGACAGGTCTGTCTTTGCTATCACTTCAGGGGCACCCTGAAACACGTGGGGTATGAGAAACAAAGGGGGTGAACAAGGGGGGCTTCCCACAGGCAGCATGGGGGTGGGGACGTCTCCTATCACTCACTCTGATAAGCAAGCAGCATTGAATTCCCATGGGAAGCACTGGGAAGAAAGGACCCAGTCGGTCCCTCACTGGCCTCTTGTAAAACGGCAGCCTCATTTCCCTGACACTCACCCCGTGGGGTGCAGCCGAGGGGCTCTTCCAGACAGGGACCCTGAAGGGCTGGGCGGAGCCACCTGCCTGCTTCTGACCTGAACAAGCGGGGACAGGACATTCCTCACTGTGAGAACTGACGTGTTCAAATCATCCCAAACAACATGGCTCGAATTCAACCTATTGACATGATTTCCCCCCCAAAACCCAATGTGCTTGGTTGACTTTGGAACTGAAAACTTCACTCCATCTTGGCAAGGGAATGCTTTCCGAAAACAAAGTCAGGGCGTTGTTGAAAAGACGCTTTGCTGCTCCCAGCTGCTAACAAGTATGGGAGGCGCGTTCACTGCGAGGCCCGCGTGCTCTGGCACCAGCCGGGGCTGGGGAACGGGCACGGGGGCTGCAAAGCGTGGTCCTCACAGCAGACCACTTAGAATCACTGACTGTCCCAGCCCATGTCACCGGGCTGCAGGGAAGCGGGCAGGGCCCCGCGGGACCCCAGGCAGACCTGGAACAGGGACAACTGGAAAATGAGTCACACTCACCAGGGGACATAAAGGAAATGGGGCTCAGGGGCCAACCCCCAGAACTGGACCAAGCCTCACTCTCCCACGGGACTCCCTCCACACACACCCCCCACGCCCCACCCCAGGCCTGCCTTTTCTCATCTGAAAATGGAAACAGCATTACGAAACTACCCAGGGGATGGAAACTTCTAGAATGTCCCTAAGCAGGAGGCACTGGGTGTACGTCGAGTTCCTCCTGCCCCTCCCGTCTGAGGCCACCTGTCCTGCTTTTTTTGCTTGGGAAAACAAGGTCATTACAGGTGGCTCTTGTCACCAAATAGCCCAGAGTGTGTTCTGCGGGGCGCAGTTTTCAAAAATGCCACCTTTGGCTGCCTCTGAGCCTTCCCCTCTGAGAAGGGGTTCACCTGGGGACACGGATGGACACAAAGAAAGGGTCTCGGGGAAGGGAGGGAGTGGGCTGTCGTGTCCTCACACCACTGAGCTTCGGACATCCTCCTCCTGCTGTTAAGGGGGTTTTCTTGTTCTCCCCTCTGAAGCACCTCCTCCCACCCAGGCCCCCCCCCCGCCCCCCCAGCAGTGCCTGCCGTGCACCTGCTGGCCAGGTGATGGTGCCTTATTTGTGTGGGGGGGTGGGGTGGGAGGAGGTCACAGGACCCTGGGACTCCTGCTTTGGGGTCAAACAAAATGACCTCTGAGGCTCCCACGGCTCTAAAGCTCTAGGAACCTTACCTAGTTACTTCCTGGTTAGTTCTTAATGAATAACAAACGGAACATTACAGTAATAGGCAAGCTAGCAAAACTAATGAGGCCAATCCGTTAACCACACCCTAGTGTAGCACATGACCAGGGTGGGGGGGCTGTGCAGGCCCCCTGGCTGGCTCCTCTCCGTTTTCACAGCACGGTGCTGGGCAATCCACATGGTGTCCCTGGGATTTAACCAGTGTTCTCTCGGAGGCCCCTGCACACCCAAGTCTCTGCTTTCTCCGCACTTTTCCTCTCCGCAGCTCAGGCTCGGGATCGCGGGCGCCCCGTGCCCGATCGCAACAGTTTCACCCCGGTTGTCGCTTCCTGTGAGCCCAGAATAGAAGATGCCATCTGTCGCATTTGGGATGTCATGTGTCCACCGATGACTCACAGAGAGTAGGACCCCCGAGAGGAAGCGCGGGCACCATCAGCCTCTTTCAAAGCACAGCTCAGCAGAATGCAGAGAATGCGAGTCGGGCCTGGGGCTGCCAGGTGGGAATTCTCCGCATCCTGCCCTCTCTCCACAGGTGGGAAGCCTAGAGGGTCCTCTTCAGCCCCGAAGGGCTCGCCTTTCAGCGGCAGCATCGAGCAGCCGTCAGGACAGAGCGTGCCTGGGACGGGTCACCTTGTGGGCGCTGTTTGTGCAGGACCGGGGGGTTGCCCTCCACCAGCTGGTCGGAGGGGGCGGCGTCTGGGGGGGTGCTGCTGTCCGGGGGCCCTCCCCCCGATGGGCCACTGCGGCCACACACCAGGCGCTTTTCATCCAGCAGGGACAGGTGGTATTCACACAGGTCGATCAGCGAGGCCACCTGCTCATGGAGTGGCAGCGTCTTGAACTTCCTCTGAGCCAGGTAAAAGAAGGCCTCCACGAAGGCCTGCAAGCACATCCCTGTGGAAGAGAGACCAGAGTTAAGGGGGAGGGGTGTGCCAAAGGGTCCCTTGCACTGCCTGGGGAAGGCGCAGTTCCAACCGCCAGCCTCCTTCCTCACCACCGTTTCCATCCCGGGGACTTTAATTTCTGGGCCAAACTCCCAGAGGGCCTGCCTTGTGCCAGCCACCAGCTGGCCATTCACAACCATTTGCAGATCCAACCTCTTCCTTAGTCCTTCGGGGGAGGCCTAATGAGCACTGGTTTACTGACAAGGAAACTGAGTCTCAGAGAAGCAGAGCCAACTGGGCAAAGTCACACGGGCAGGGCTGATATTCAACCTGGCCCAAGGCCTCACCCCTCTGCGCCACCATAAAATGTTCCCATCAGACCCCAGCCTCTAACGTTGATAACCACGGGGAAAGTGCGCTCCTCAGAGAAATGGGTCGGCAACACCCTATTATCTCGATAGAGGTGTTGGTTACACGTGTGTATGCACCTGTCACACACAGGGCAGACACGTGCCTTAAGAAGTGTGGATTTTGCTGTATGTAAATTTTACTTCGAAGAGTAAAATAAACCCGACCACTTCTCTCTAACCGAAATGATATTCTAGAAGATAATAGCAGTCCCCACTGTGTCCCTGAAACGTTCTTCCTTTGCCTCATAAATTCCTGCTCGTCGTTGGGATCGGAGCTCAAGATCACCTGCTCAGTAAAAGCTTCCCTGGCCCCCAGATCAGATGTGGCACCGGGACAGTCTTCTTGCCCTTTCTTTTGCAGCACCAGACTGTAGCCTGTTCAGAGTTTGTGTGGTTCTTCCAACAGCCTCTCTCTTCTTCCCTGCTGACCTGTGAGCTCCAGCTCACCTCTGTTCCCCAAGGACCAGACGCCCAGTGCTCAATATAGAATGCTTCATGAATACGTGAGTGAAATGAATGAACAAATGAGTTAGTGCTTGGTACTTTACAGACATTGCCACTAATCCTCACAACACCTTTTTGAGATCAGTGTTATTACACCCCACTCTACAGATGAGGAAGCTAACATTCAGAGAGGCTGAGTAACTTCCCTGAGGTCACACAGCCAGAGAATAGTGGCCTGGAAATTCAAACTCTGGCTCCCAATTCTTTTATTTAAGTTTGTTTATTTATTTATTATTTTTTAAAAGATTTTTTTAAAGGTTTATTTATCTTTGAGAGAGAGAGATAGAGTGTGAGCAGGGGAGAGGCAGAGAGAGATGGAGACACAGAACCCCAAGCAGACTCCAAGCTCTGAGCTGTCAGCACAGAGGTCAACGTGGGGCTGTAAGTCATGAACCGAGAGATCATGACCTGAGCCAAAGTTGGAAGCTCAACTGACTGAGCCACCCAGGCGCCCTTATTTATTTTGAGAGAGAGAGAGAGAGAGAGAGAGCACACACATGAGTGGGAGAGGGGCAGAGAGAGAGAGAATCCCAAGCCAGCTGTGCACTGTCAGCACAGAGTCCCCTATGTGGGGCTCCATCTCACAACTGTGAGATCATGACCTGAGCTGAAATCAAGAGTCAGGTGCTTAACCCACTGAGCCACCCAGATGCCCCTGACTCCCAATTCTTTTATTAACTGGTACTACAGTCTTCCCAGTGTCCAAGCAGAAATGAACCCCGAGATCCAAAGTCACGGGATTGCCTGGGCTCCTTGGGGCAGGTGGTACTCAGGCTGGACAGAATGCCACGGGAATTTTAGAGGAGGCTGGCTTCGCCTCTGCTCATCTGTACCTTCCCCATGGCCTTGCTCCCCTCGTTCTGTCCTCAGGCAGAAGCCTGGCCTAGAGGTTTAAATACTGGCTTATATGTGGACACTGCGATCTGAGAGCTCTTCTTGCGTTGGGAACTTGAGCTGAGCAAAGCTGTTTCTTTGTCTCCTTACGAATCCATCAAAGTTTTCTTGCTCAGCTTTTCTGGACTCCAGGTGTTCTGCAGTCCCTCCCTCCCACCCCCCCGTTTGGCCCGGACAGGAGAAGCCAATAAAGGGAACAGTGAGCCTGGTATAAAACCCTCTTGATGCAAATCAAGGCCTCGTGCAGAAAGAGACACAGGGAATAGGGGACTTCTGCCCAAATCAAGAGACAGAGGTCTCCTGGTCACCGACGATGGGCCAGGGCTCTCCTAGAGTGTGAGTGTGGATGCATGCGGGTGTGCGTTTGTGCATGCGCACACGTGTGTCTGTCACAGTCAGTGGGAGGGTCAGATCCAAGCAGGGAGGAAAGGGCCGGCATCCAAAGCCAGAGAAACCCAATGCAGCCCCAGCCTCCGATTTCAGAACTGTGTGATCTCAGCAGCGCTACTCGAAGTGTGGACGGCAGATGGGTGCCAAGTCCAGGAACTGTGTGTCCCTGGGCTCTGACAAGATAAGGAGCCTGGGCCAGAATATAAATCACCCTCCTCATCAATCACATTGTTTAGTTCAGCTGGCAGTATTTTGTAGCAAGTCGTTCTCTGTAAAGGAAGCAGCATCACATCCGGGCTCAAGCCTCTTGTCCAAGACTGTACAGAACAGTTCGTGGATTGCAACTCTGAGCAGCCCTGGTCTACACGACCTTTCCCCGCTTTAACGCGCAGGACACTGGGGCACCTGGGTGGCTCAGTCAGTTGAGTGTCTGACTCCTGCTCAGGTCATGATCTCATGATTCATGGGTCCGAGCCCCGCACTGGGCTTTGCGCTGAGCGTGTGGAGCCTGCTTCAGATTCTCTCTCGCTCCCTCTCTCTCTGCCCCTCCCCTGCTCGTGCTGTCTCTCTCTTCAAAATAAGTAAACGTTAAAAAAACAAATTTAACGTGCATGATCTTGTCAAAAATGCAGGTTCTGGAGTGGGGCCCGAGACACCGTATTCCCGACCCAGCTTCCTGGTGGTGGTGGCCATGTGGCTGCTTTCTGGAGCACAGTGTGAGTAGCAAGCACAGAGCACCTTTTGCTCAACCAATATTAGTTTCTTTCCCTTAATTAAACTAATAAGGCTGTGACTGACACAGTAATGCACAGGAAAACTACACAGGGCATTTTTGGGGGTTGGGGGGAAATGTGACTAAATCATCTGGAAGGAGCCATTCTAAAATGAGAAATGAGATATGTGTTATGCTGGGTTTTGTTTTTGTTTGTCTACATTTCCTGATTTTCTAGAGTAAACACATACCTTATTGTATTTTTTCATGGACTCTAAAAACAAAACAAAATGAATAAACAAACAAAAAGCAGAATGAGACCTGTAGATACAGAAAACAAGCTGATGATCGCCAGAGGTGGGGGGCGGGGAGAGTGGAGAAAATGGGTGAAGGGGAGGAGGACACACAGGCTTCCCGTTATGGAATGAATAAGTCATGGACCCAATTTTAAAATAGGCAATGGAAAATTCTAGAAGGTGGAACGAGGCGATACAGGGGCAGCCGCTTTTCATTGTGAACCCTCTGCCACTATTTGAATTTGAAGTTATGCGCATGTATTACTTTGAAGAAAATGCCAACTTCCTGAATACACATTCTACTTTGATAAAGTTTATATACATGCAAGGGAAATAACAGCAGAAGGGAAGAGAAAGGGACCTTACTGACTCGACCAGACGTGCTATGCCGGGCGCTGGCTCTGACCCCACTACAACTCTCAACTGTGCCCCTGAGAAAATGGAGATGGGAGAGACCAAATAACTTGAGCTCGGGTCACGTACCAGTAAGTGTGGCAGGGCTGGGATTTGAACCCGGGCCTTATGCACTGCAGGTCCTTCATCTCATTCCTGGAATAAGGAATGGGCAAAATGAGTAGGGCTTTGATGGGCAGCGATGAGCTGGGAATGGAGGGCTGGGCTGAGAACAGGGAGGAGGGAGCAGGAGGTGGGGCGTTTGGCCCAGTGATGGGTGGGGGGCGCCTGCAGGGTGGGGGGAGGGGGGCAGCTAGACTAGACTGGAGAGGACTGGAAGGCCAGGGGACATGGGCCGGGAGCCACAGAGGGGTCCAGGGAAAGCAAGCCCAGATCCAGTTGGGAAGTTCCGTGCCTAGGACAGCTTGAGCACATTGTCCACTCAGGGGACTCCTGTTTTGTGCAGTGAGATGTGTGTGTTTGTGTCATTCCTCAAATGCAGTCCTGTGAGGTCGGTGAGGACTCAGAGCCCTGCCCTCACGGTCCTCTCTCACTAGAACGGACTCATCCAAGGGACACTTGGCTCTTCATACCAAGCCAAGCACCGTCCCTCCCTGTGCTCCAAAAGCCTGGTCTAGCATCTTCCTTTACAGATGCGGGGAGCGGTAAACGAGGCCCAGCAGAAGCAGGATCAGGACCCCAGGTCTCCAGACTTCAAACTGTACTACCATCACGAGCACCAAAATAAGAAAGCAAACCAGACACTTCCCAGGTCAAGGGACTGGGGAACAGGGCCGTCTACACTGGCTGGGGCCCCCACTGAGTATGCCTGAGAGAGTGTGAAGGCCGGTGAAGGCTGGGAAGAGGGACACCCCCCATTGCACGCCATGATACGTGGGTTGCCGGCCCCCACAATGGCCATCTTGAGGGGCCGTATGCTTGCGTTTGACAAGACATCGTTCTTGCTCCTCATTTCATCAAATGGCCCAGGAAATGGTGGCTGAACCCAGGTCAATATTTGCTGAGCTGCAGAGAATTGAGCTTTGGGGAGGGGAAGAGAGAGAGGGAGACCCAGAATCTAAAGCTGACCTGAGCCGATGTCGGACACTTAACCGACAGAGCCACTCGGGGGCCCCTCTCCTTCTTTCTTCCATACAGTGAGAAGCCCACCAGAAAGCCTAGGAAAGCTCATGAATGTCCTCTCTCTAGAACTGACCTTCAATCCACTCTGTCCACAGAAGATGTTTTCACTCGGTAATTAACAACACACACAAAACTTTGTACTTCTTGTGCTTAAAACAATGTCGCAAACATTTTTGTATGTTGCTATGCAGCCTTCATAACATTATTTTAATAGTCGCAGAATATGCCATCAAATCTTACTTTGTATATCATTTCGCCATATCCCCCACTGTTGAACACCAGGCTAGTCACCTTCTCTTCACCATTATTGAGAACATAAGCACCATCATAAGCCCTTGGCACATCGCTGTTTTTATTTCTGATTCATTTATTCTTTTGCAATAAAACCCCAGGAATCTGCGGGGGGGGGGGGTAATGTTAAGTCTGGTTTTGGTAATTAATTTCATGTAAAAAATATTTGAACCTTATAGAGTCCTCAGTGGACAAAGCACACGAATGGGTAGTTCACGTACATCAGCAAGTGAGGGAGAACACAGCCACTCGCACTGAAGCCGCGGGGTGCCACTGCTCACCCTTTAACAAAAAATGTAAAATAACGCTAACGGTGAGTTAATGGTGAAATTGCTGTGGACTTTTGAAAAGCAATTTGGCAAAAGTTTTAAGAGCCATTCAAGTATTTCGAAATACTCCTCCCAGAGGAAAAAGAAAAGCACACAATGGTGTTCATCATCAACTTACTCACAGTGCCCGAGGCTGGGGAGTGGATTTATAGGGTATTTTTATATCCTTTCTATTTTTTCTGTATTTTCCAGGTAAAAAGTCCATGTTCACTCTTGATAATATATATATTATTTAAAAATATATATATATTATTTAAAATATATATTAAAATATACGTATTAAAATATATATTATTAAAAATATATATATTATTTTAAAAACTACCCCAACCCAGCCTCTAATGTCTGGAGATCTAGGACGCTATCCCTGGTCCACCCCCAGGTAGAGCTAATTGCCCTCTGCTGGGGTTCCCCCTTGTTTCCTGCTATATATTGGGACAAGCCCATGGGTCTGAGGCTGTCTCCCCAGCGGGACTGTGTACTTCTGGAGGCAGGGACATTGCCCCAATCTTCTCCGCAACCCCAGTGCCCAGCACAGCCTGGCACACAGCAGGCACCAATAAAAATCCACTTAATCCACTTGAATGGGCTGTGACCACAATCCCGTGATACGGGTCTTATTGTTCCCATTTTACAGCTGAGGACAGCAAGGTAAGCCAAGGGGCACAGGGAAAGACAACCCTAGGAGAACTCTTCTCTTAGACAACGTGCGGACTCATGAGACCAAGATGGTCCAGACCGGAGGCTCTAGAAGTCTAGAGTCCCCTGAAGGACTCATGAAAACAGACTTCGGGCCCCACCCCCAACCCCGTGCAGAGCTCCAGACTCTGAAGCTCTGGAGAATTTGCACTTCTACCACGTTCCCAGGCGGCTAGGAGACTGTTGGTCCAGGGACCCCACTTTGAGGACCCCTCCCTCCCTCCCCAGCATCCTCCTCACCGCCGAATCCAGTCTGTCCATTCTCCACCCTGAATACTCACCTGCAAAACGTGGCCTATTTGCAAAAGGACCTGCCCCTGAGCTTCGAGAAGCCTGACTTTGGGCCAAGAAGGTCTGCCTTTTAAGACAGTCTGACAGGTATTTTTAAAATCGCATGATGGAGCCGAGAAGCCATGACATTGCTCCAACGTGGCATTTGGTCCTCTCCTGGTCCCTGAGAAACCGCCCATGCCTGTCTCTCCCAGCGCCATCCCTCAACCGCTGAGTGGGGCAGAGCTCCGTGCCCTCTCCGTTGCCCTTCTCTAGCTGTGCTGAGGAAGATGGGACTGGAAAGGTCACAGGCCAGTCCACGGAGGGCCCTGTGAACCATGGTCAGACTTTGGGTTCCCTGCCAAGGAAGACGGAAGGCCACCGGGGACACGTGAAGTGACGCAATCGATGTGGCTGTTGTGTTGAGCCAGGGCGCACGTGAAAAGATAGCCAGGAGATCCCATAGGGGCTACTACACCAGTCCAAGCGAGGGCTGCGGCCCGCTTGGACCAGAGTGGTTGGTGGCAGAGGCAGCGAGGGTGATAAGATCCCAGACAGAGCCTGAGGGCAGTGCCAACGGATCCGAGATCTGCTGAGCGGTCGGACGTGGATGGTGAGGGTAACAGGAGCCCTCATGAAGGAGGACCTCTAATACCAAGGGAGGGCTGCCCTTCCCCTCAAGGACCGTGGCTTTTAAATGTTTTATGCCTAAAATAACCTGGGGACCTTGCCAGAAATGCAGGCTCCTGTCCCTTCTCCTGGGGATTCTGTGTGCCGGCCATGAGACCCTGGAATTGCACGTGTCACGGCAGCCGTGGTGATTCTACACGCATGGGTGATCGGGAAACTTTGGAACCAGCGCTCCGTCTTGGCCATCTCCTTAAGGGCTCTCGAGGAGGCAGTGGAGTAAAGAAGTTAAGAAGCTTCATGCTGGGCTAACCGCGCTGCGGGCTATCATGAGCCATGGGGGACGCCCAGAACAAAGGTCCCCCTCCGAAACCCCATGGCCCGCCCCTCCTTGCCGTCTTTGTCTGCTGGGGCTGCCTGAACGCTCTCTGGTGTCCCTTCTTAGAAGGACATCAGTCTCTTGGGATCAGGGCCCCCGCCCTATGGCCTCATTTAAACTCAGCTACTTCCCTAGAGGCTCCATCTCCAAACACAGTCACATAGTCACATGGGGGGGGGGGTGTTGTAACAATTCCACAGCATCGCAACTTCTCGGTTCTGTGTATGGCTCGCCCAACACTCAGACGCACCCTCCTACTACCACCCAAGTCTTTGAGGTCACCTGAGCCACTGAGGAGAGATACTCCTTGAAAAACCCTCACGGCTCAAGCTTGGAGTTGGAGGCATCCCTTCGGTAACTTTGCCTTAGTGACCTGTCACAGTAACGTGATGAAAGTAAACAAAAACAGTGATCATTGTGGAGCCCTCGTTAAGTGCCAGGCCCTGATCTAAAGGCTTCATGTGCATTTTTTAACTTAATCTCACAGAAGCCCTTCAAAGCAGGCGTCAAGATCAGTCCCATTTTATCCTCAATGAGACTTGCCAGAGTCACACAGCTGGAAGGGGACAGCCCGGAGAACCATTCTCGAAGCTTCTTTACTCTGTGGCTGCTTCGAGGGCCCTCATAGAGATGGTCAAGTCAGAGTGTTACTTCCGGTCACTCAGGAGGAGGAAGCGAAGGAGGGAACAATGCAGGCCTCGCAGGGGATGAGGGACGGGCCCATCCAGTCCTGCTGGCCGTCAGCGAGGTGGTGCCCATCTGCCCTTCTCTGCTCACAGGCTTTCCCCACCTGCCTCCCACGCCTGAAGATAAGCTGTGGAGTATTTTTTTAAACTTGATTTTGGGTTGACGGATGTCGCTGGAGAAAGCAGCCTTCGCAACATTCCGGATGTGGCCATGTGCACGTCTCTCACCCAAGACTGATGCCTGCTTCCTGGGATGCGGCCCCTGACAGACCATGGCCTCATTCTGTCAGTCAGCTGGTGAGGGGGGGCGCGTGGGCTCCTTCTGGCCTCTGAAGTCCTGTCGCCCCCACCCCTTGGGAGGCGTCCTCGCATGCAGGACTTAACGAAAGCGCTGGTGGCTGCCCTCCAGTGACCCCATTATCTGCTGTGGGGCCCCAGCAAGAATGTATATCCTGTTTCTCATCTGGGTCTCAGGGTGATGTTCAGAAGGAGAGGCGATCGCGAGCATTCCCCGCTTACAGCTGAGGAGTGTGGACCCAGAGAGGCCGAGTGGCCTGTCCAGGGGGACAAGGCAGCATCATACCCGTGCCTACCTGATGCCCACACCTTGTTGTTTCTCCTGCACGATGCTCCTCTTAACATCTGACATTTATGTATTATTT